TGCCCGAAGGGGAGGGCAGGGGGCGTGGCTCCGCCTGGCTCCCACGTCCCCTCGCTCGCGCTCTCTCTCTGCCTCTCTCCTCCTTCACAGGGTGACACGTCTGCAGGGTGAGTGAGTGGCATTGGCAGACTGTCAATCCCTCACCAAAGCGGCCATCAAACAACATAAAACACACACAGTCACTGGGCTGCTGGGCTCATTGCCCGAAGGGGAGGGCAGGGGGCGTGGCTCCGCCTGGCTCCCACGTCCCCTCGCTCGCGCTCTCTCTCTGCCTCTCTCCTCCTTCACAGGGTGACACGTCTGCAGGGTGAGTGAGTGGCATTGGCAGACTGTCAATCCCTCACCAAAGCGGCCATCAAACAACATAAAACACACACAGTCACTGGGCTGCTGGGCTCATAAATTCCAGCTGGCTGATATTTTTGCACATTGCTTTGCAGAGAGTGTGTAATTAATTTTTTTACAGTTCTTTCCCCTTTATTTCCGCTCTTTTCTTTGCACAAGTTCAAACTTTTGATAGCTGCAATTTTACCCCCATTGTACAGACTTGGGATCATTTGTTATTATTTTTTGGGGGAGGGCAATTAATTTTTTTCATCTGTGTTTGTGTTTTCTTGGGCTTTTTTTAATGTTGCAATTTGGGGATGGGGGTGTTTGCTTGGTTTGTTGTGGTTTTTGCTGTTTGCCACCCTCCTAACTTTTTAAGGATTTGAAAGCAAGTTTTTGTGTGTGTGTGTTTTTTAATTTTGCCTTTTTTTGCGAAGAAGATTATTTTTTGGACAAGTGGAGGAAAGACATAAAAAGCAACAATAAAAATAAAAAAGAAGAGAGGGGGGAAAAAGCTTTGGAGGAAGATTGTACCGAGGGGAGAAAACTGCAAAAAACCTTATCAACTCATTATCCGAGCCAGAAATATCATTGTTATGATGAAAGAAGATTGTAACTAAAGAAGAGAGTGATTTACTGCATTGGAAAGAAGAGCGTGGAATAAACAACTGAGATCCGGTGAAATACTAAATACTGATTTTTTTTGTTAATTTGCGAGAGTAAAATAACAGCAAGCAGGAACTGAAATTGACTACGGGAACCACAGATTTATTCGCATTTTATTTTCTAAGCACAAACCTCCTTCCTCTGATTGTGAGGCTCTTTTTGCCGTTTCTCCTGCTGCTATCTCTGAAAGTGCATTGATTGGGCTGCGGTAGGAGGTATGGATGATCAGTCCAGGATGTTGCAGACTCTGGCCGGTGTGAACCTGGCTGGCCACTCGGTGCAGGGGGGGATGGCTCTGCCTCCTCCCCATGGACATGAAGGGGCAGACGGCGACGGCAGAAAGCAGGACATCGGAGACATCCTCCATCAGATCATGACCATCACTGACCAAAGCCTGGATGAGGCACAAGCAAAGTTGGTTTCGTCTAATTAAACCTTGTCTTTTTGTGTGTGTGGTTTTTGTTTCTCTCCCTCCTGCTTCTCTGCAGAGACCAGGAGTCTCACAATTAGAACAACTTCTTAATACAGTAGGAGAAATTTCAAGCAGCAAAGGCAAAAATCAAAGTTGCTGTTAATTATTTGTAAAATATAAATATGTGATGCTTGTACCATTTTTTTCTGTTCCATTTTATTTGCACCTATGCGTGGAATGCATGTAGTCCCATTTTCATTTCCATCTCTATAGACACTATCTGGTTGACACTCATTTAAAAATCGCCATCCCGCAATATTTGCTCTTCGGGAGACTTTTGATTTCTTGTTCAGAAGTGTAACTTTTTTTCTTTCCTTCTCTCCTGCCCCTGAAGTGGTGGCAGATGAATTACAAAGCTGACAAGATATTGCTTCAGGGAGAAATCCCTCCGTGTTTGAAATCACAGTAAATACAAAACAAAGAATGTGAACTCTGGAAGTTACCCTTTTAGCAAATCCGCTCTAATGTAGAGGAATGGAAAGCAGTCGAGATCGCTGTATACATCAAAGCCTGGTCTATCAGGGAAATTACATACAGCGAATTTGACTTAAACAGGTGGAAAAAAAACCCCTTGTAACATGGCTTTAAAACCAAACTTCTGCGAGCGTCTCAAGTCTGCAAAGTGGTAGGCAGGCGGGGGCTCCCTGGATTCTGACTTGTCACCACAAGTCCCTGCTTTGGTGACAAATGAGAGAAGGCATTTGAAACACCCTTTTATTTGCTCCTCTTGTCCCTGAATTTAAATCTCCTCACATTGCTTCTTAATGTTTGCTACTTTGCACACAGTATGATTAGGTTGTCTGGTCGCCTATAGGGCAAATATGTGCTTCCCCTCCTCCCCCTAACAGCCAAAAAGCTGTAGCCAAAGATTCCTCCCCCTCCTCCCCCTCACAGCCAAAAAGCTGTAGCCAAAGATTCCTTGTCACTTGTCATTAACTTTACTTCCTATTACTTTGCATGGAATAGCTGAACAGTACAATGCAGGGGCACAACTAAATCATTTTATTGTGGAAAGGCGCCATATTATCAAATAGCTTCTGCTAATGCATTTGTTGTTTTCCCACCCTCTTTTCCAGAAAGCATGCACTGAACTGCCACAGAATGAAGCCTGCTCTATTCAGTGTCCTGTGCGAAATCAAAGAGAAAACAGGTAAGAGGCCAGGAGGAGCAGGGTTTTCAATTGCACCCCACACAGGTCAGCATTGCAATACTTCTCAATTCTGCAAGCCTGGGAGCTGATGTGGGCACCGCAGCCATCTTTGATCCTTGCTTCCTTGCCTGCTTCTGATCTTGGGGAGGGGAGGGGGGAGAATGCAATAAATCTGGAGCAAATTTTACAATTCATAATCCCGATGTAAAATGAAATGTAGATGAAAATGATCGTGTGTCACCGTCCGCAGAGTAAATTCCCCCTCTGGCTGCAATCAGGGAAGCAACACGGAGCAAACCAGGCTGTCTCCCCCTCTCTCTGCCTTGTTTGTATGTCAGTTTCTTAAAGGAGCAATGTGAGATTGGAGAAGCCAATTGCAGCGTAGGAACCGCACAGCCGGCAACTTTGTTTGACTCGGGTCACCTCATTGTTTATCTGTGCAATTAGCAGAATATATGTTATTGGACGCATTCAGTTGACAGATCCAAACTAGTACACTATATGTGGGAAATTAACTGTAGGCTTAAGAAATGCTCAAAGAGGGGTGTGTATAATATGTGTATAAATATGTCCACACATGTTCAGATACATACGGATATACCTTGTATAGAATACGTTTATCTTATGTACATTTACGTTCAGAGGGTCATTTATGTACATTAATATTTCTGTAGATATTGCTATTCATATCTATATATCTATAGACAAAAATGATGGCAACCCCCCTGAAGTTTTCAAAAAAAGTATTTAAAAATATGGAAGAAAAAAGGGTAGAAGCAAGTTAGAATATACATTTATATATTTACATTTAAGTTGGATATCATACAATTACAATTTTGAAAACAGCATTTCAGGCAACTGTGTAGTAACAAAATATAATACCCATTTTAAAAGTGTACTATTTAGAATTCTAGTTCCTAAACTTGATCTACACATACACGCTTTAAAAATGTGCTAGAGGCTTAACTAAAATATATAATATTTTTCTTATAACAATAAAACTTACCATTTATATAGCACTTTTCATTTTCCAAGTGCTGTACAATCACACGTGTGCTGAAGAAAAAAATCTTTCTTCATATAATAGAGAACAAGTTAAAGGATCAGTAAACTTTGTAAGCATTAATATGTATATACTATTCTGTCTGAATGCATCACATTTTAAGAGAGAACAGAACAAAAATGAAGATGGTGTGATACTGAGGACACAAGAGTATTAACAACTAGACCGTACAGAGTGAAGTTAAGAATCAAGTGATAAAATGATTTCTGCCAATATGTGTTTGTAAGGAGCAGAGCAAAGTCTTAATTTTTTGGTGCAATAATATTTTAAACACCAGAATGTTTCTTCCCAAAAAGTCAAACTGTTAAGATATATTGTTAAGACACATTGAACCTTCATAGCAGCTTGTGTATGTGCTCTTTGACCCCACTGACTTTAAATGAAGAAAAAAAGTCACTTTTTAGAAGGGAGGATTTTGAAAAGTATTGTATGTAATATTATGGGAAGCAAGAGCATTGTTAAAGTCCAACTAACTTAAAAAAAAATCTTTAAACTAGCTTTTTAGTTACCCTTGTAAATTATAGTTCTCAATTGCTGTCTGAAGACAAAAAATACATATGACTACAGAATAAGACATCAAATATTAAATCACATAAGAATCTTAACTAAGAAACCTAAAAGTGCACAGTTCTCGGTAAATTATGCTGCTTAATGTCCAAAGGTTTCCTTGCTATCAGGACTCCACTTCAGTTTCTGCTGACAGCTAAGCACTGGGGTATTGACTGTGTTGTGAATATTAAGATTGATTCTGCTTTATATTGCATTATATTACTCTGGATAAGGGGAATGATTTCCCCCCTCCCTGCGCCACACACATACACCCTTTGTGCCTTGATCACAGTTAAAATTCCCCACACCCTGTTTGGTTCGTATTTGTTTTCTTGTCGTTTTCGAAACTTCTTGCCCAGCCAGCTCCAGAGCTAACCAAACAACCTGCCTTTGATGTTTAGACATTTTGCAGCAGGCAGATTTCAATTAAGAAGGCATAGGTCCTGCGATCACTTATTTGCACAGGGCTTAGCCTCACTGCTTTGAAATGAAAGTATAGTCAACCACATGTCAGAGGTGAGTTGAGAATTAAAAACAAGTCTTTTCAGAGACAGGGATTACTGGCAGTGGGTGCTTGGTAAGGCCAGTGCTGTTGCAGAAGCGAGAAGGAAACTGACAAGGGAAGAGATTTTGTGATTTCAAATGTTTCTGGGGATTTCAGTGATAATTTGTAAGTTGAGATCTTGCTTTTGTGTCTTGACTTGTGGAGGCAAGTTTGCAAGTTATCTCTTTTGTAAAACAGCTAAGACCCAACAAAGAGTGAAGGCGTCCGTCTGGCCAAAGACGGGATCCTGCCAGACCCAACAACTGGGAATGGATAGGATTAATGCACTGAGTGATTGATGGAGGTGAATCCACCCCCCCCCCCCAAACTGTTCCCAAAGGGGGATATTCACTCAGGATCTCCCAGTTGAGATTAAATGATTGTATAGACATTAGTAAGTGTTAGCAAAGCAAAGAAAATGTGAAAGCAATGTCTAGCATATTTTCTCTGATCTGTTTCCATGAGGGAAAAAGTGCGAATACCAAAAAATTCTGCATTTGTAGGGTAAACAATTTGCGATGCAGTTAAAGTAGGGGTTTTTACCCATTGGTCTTCACTACCTTTTGCTCTTCAGATTATACATATCTTGTTGTTAGTAATGGAAATTACTGTCATGGTTTATCCTACCTAGTTTAATGGGACAGAAAGAATCTATCTCTGCATAAAGTATGATTTCAGTTATATGAAATAGGGAATTACGTAATGCGACCATGCAGTCATTTTTATTTTTAATTGCATTAATTTTTAATACTTTGCTGGTGGGTTATTATTGTTCAGTGCAGCTAGTGAGTACTTTGCTAGATTGGTAGAAAGGGAATGTTTAGGGAAACCCCCAATTTCAGGAGAATTAACCATATCAGATGCTATCAGAGATCAAAATTCATTTCTTCAAGGGTTAGTAGATGCATTATGTTTATTAAAGATTTTTTACTCTGCCTTATTTAGAAGTAGGTAGCTGAAGAATGTTTCTGAGAAATATTTATCGTGTTCAAAGTAATTATTTACAAAATCTAATGTGACAGTGTTTGTTAAAATGTAAAAATAAATATGTTCAGCATAAATCTACTTTAAAACACACTCACGCACACACACATATTATGTGCATCCCTAAAGGCAGCCACCGGGTAGCAGGTTTTCATAAAGGTGACTAACTGCCACTTATTTATTTAATTAATATCAAGAAAATTGAGCCCCAAAGTTAGGGAAGCCCCTCTAGTAAAAAAGAGTGATAAGAAAAACGGGTCTGTTTAGTGGTTGCATTAGGTTACATTTTCTGTATCTGTTCTATTAGATGTGGAGTCACATCTGTTGCATAACTTTGTATCAATCTTTCTGTCCTCCCCATCAGTAGATATCATAGACTGATGTAGGTCATGTTGTTTTCCTATATGTACACAGTTGACTGTTAAGAAAAGCTTAGATTCAAAATCTGATTTTCCTTATATGCTAGTAAAAATCTGTTCCTGAAGTGCTGTATTTACATATGCAAAATGCATGAAAATATATCAATTCTGATGTTCTTAAAAATGATTAGGGAATTGTAGTTATTTCCCAATGGAATTCCATTTTATTGAGCTATACTGACAGATGATCTGCACCATCATAGTCTCTTTCCTTTTCATGTTGTTTTTAAAAATTATGTTTAAAAAAATCCACGCAATGACAGCTGCCAACCAAACCTTAATTTACCGTTGCCACAAACCCTAAATAGCATTCATTTACTACTAATGCCTAATGGCATACATGATGGTTTGCCAGATTTGTGGCCTTTCTGAGGCTTATAAGCAGGACTGACTTGGGAAGATCATAAAACTTAATGAACTTCTCGACTGCAGGAGGTGTCCGCAGGGGAAGAGAACGGCCTGCTTGGCTGGTTGGGCTGGTTGAACTATTTTTTATGTCTAAAGAGAGGAAGAAAATGATCACTAAAAAATGTTCTGCCTTCATGCAGAGCTTTGTTTCAAAGTGTGAAAAGATTTTTTTTAGATATGGAAAACCGAAGAACAGCGAAATTAACAAATTAGATTAATTTCTTGTTATTTGCCGTGTAAGCTGAAACCTTTATTTTTATTGCTACAACTGTAACTAGCCATCCATCGCCATTCTGATGAGCAAAATCTCCTGCTCTCATTTCACAGCAAAACTCTTACATGGTCCAATTCTTTGGAGGTTTTCAGGAACACCTCTAAAGATTTCGCAATATATCACCCAAAGTGGCCATTATATAACTAGCATTAGAAAGGCCTCTTTCCATAACAATTTAAAAATATCAACCCCTCTTTCACTGTTTATCTTTTCAACTGAACTGCCAGATTTTTTTCTTACATTACATTCATTTTAACTTTTCAGTATTTGAAAACTATTGTATCATGCCAATAATTGGCAATAAAATAAAAGCTATTAATTAAATGTTAGAAGATAAATGTGAAATGGTAAAATAACATTATAATTTATCTAAGCTATTTTTTAAATATTAAATTGTAATGTTATAATTATTCAATTGAGCTGTTTAAAAAAATATAGTCCTCATATGCCCTTATCAAGTTCTTTAGTGTAATTTTTAATTTACTTTGGTTAAATTAGAAAATAAACAATGTGGATTAAACATTTTTATTTTTGTGTAAGAATGTTTTTTTTCTTTTTAATATTCAGAATTGTAAGGAATAATCAGCTAAAATGCCACAATTCTTAAATGATGTATTTTAAAAGGTATTAATTATTAAACGTATTCCAGTTCATTCCATCTCATAGTATGGTATGCCACTTACACCACCTTAATGGTAATGGAATCACTTTGCCTCATAAATGTTCCACTAGTAAAAATTAAATTGAATTAAGTATCTG